TCTCTCTCTCTCTCTCTCTCTCTCTCTCTCTCTCTCTCTCTCTCTCGTTTTCCCTAAATGTTCCATGCCTTCACTTCCTACCCCCCTTCCCCACAAGCAGTTTTTCTCACATACACACACACACATACACACACACACACACTCACACACACACCTTCAAACACAAACACACATATACAAACATACAAACCCCCCCACACACACTCACAAACACACACACACGCACACATGTTATATCTATCCAACAACCAACCCATAAGACTCTCTCCACTTTCTTGTATGTCGTATGATCATAACAAATCTTTCCTAAATTTCAAAGAAGAATATCAAATTGTTCCGAAACGATCGAATCCAAACCGTATCATTATGTCTAACCATAACTGGACAAGCTGTAATTATACCCTGACTAGTTTAGGTAGACTGTACGACGTTATCCCCAATCGACATCGGAACAGAATTACAAATTAGCGGTTACTTGACAGCGGCCGTAAACTCAGATCCGGCTCCTTCGGCCGCGCCGTTCGTTAGTGGAAGTCTTCCTCTCATTAATCACTTTGAATCCAGGGGCTTGTTACGTTCATCAATTTAAGTTATATAGTCTATCTATCTATCTATCTATCTATCTATCTATCTATCTATCTATCTATCTATCTACCTATCTATCTATCTTCTGGTTATTGCACGTCAACCTCTGAACCACAGATGACACATGCAGGTGTCCACCTGCAATGCAAATTGTCTGTTTTTCAGTGAGCCTGTCTGCTTATTTTTCATTTCATTAGAGTAAATGTTAGTCACCTTTCCAATGTACGTTTGTTTGGCTTTTCCATAAACTTTTGCCAAATTATACCCAGAGAGACGGCAACAAAAAGAGCATCAACCACAGCAGCCTCACAGCACAACACGGAAGTCGTCAGAATCTGACCAGCCACACCACATACTGAAAATTATACATCACAGAAACTGTGACCGATAATAACACATTGTAGACACTGTGACCGATAATAACATGGGAGAGGACAGTCAGTTGGAACAGTGACAATCTTTTGGGGACTTAATTTCAACTTACTTGTCAGGCACGCGGCCATAACCTCCGTCCCTCTTCCTCAACTGATTGTCCTCCAGCGGACGAAGGCCTGAGGTCCTTTCCAGAATCTTCTTAGAATATTTTCAGTTTCACTGTAGTTGCTGGAGTAATGATTTTCTTAGCGTTGTTTCTGCCTTTGTTCTTGTTTGCCTCCAGATCAGTGGAGAAATGACGGGTTTAGATTATGAAACTTCTTCTGTTGATTGGAAAACTCCACGGGGACAGAGCGGTTCGGAATATCAGTGAAGACAGTACCAATTTTGTAGACTGCCAAGGCACAATCCTTTGTGTCTTCTGCAACTGGTCTTCAGACTGGACATCAAATAGACGGCTTTTCCCTTCACTTTCTCTCTGAAATATAAACAAATATAGACAATGCAGTTAGCACTCATAACTTTTGTTCGAAAGTAAGATCCATTAAAATACATGTACTAGAACATAAAAGTGGCATTGTGTAATATCATATTTTAAACCAAGCGAAAATGAAACTGGAAACTATATGATATGAGTGGAGTACAAATATTTTACGTCCCTAATGACACAATTTATACGGTTATTTGGGAGGCAGACTCCTTTGACTCTGCCTGTCGGGGTCAGATTAGTTTAAAAAGAATACAACACCCATCAAACAGAGCAGATGCTCAATACAGCATCTCCACAAGCGGGGATCAAATTCATATCATTTGCACCGAACGGTGAAGAGTGTAACTCTTACAACAGAAACAGAGACCCCGGGTAGCATGAAACTGCAGCAAGGATACTCGAAGGAAAGAGGAACGACCAGACGAAATAGTGTAATGCTGTTTCTCCGTGAAGAATACACCTGGCATCGGATTTTGAGCAAACCACGAGATGATAATATGCTCTGAGGGGTTGTCTCTTGGAGATCTATAAGCTCAAGATGTAAATGTACCATGGCGTTCACAAGACATCCAAATAACAGGACCAACAGCAATGACAGGAACAAAATCAATAACACAACGTATAAAAACAACTATTAAACGAAACGACTTCTCTTTTACAACTGTACAAGACAGACAAAAAATATATAGAAAGAAGATAACAGATATTTCTTATTATCCTCGGGCGCTAATGAGGAACTCCCTTCTTTCTACATTCAATGTTTTTGTAACTACAGATACTGAGAGCTTTGTCAAAATGGCCACGTGTTAGGAGAGCTGGCAAAATGGGTTACTTCTCGAATTTTAGCCTTTTGGAAATAGATACATCAAATAGACAGGAGGAGTTTGGACAGTTTATAGGTATGGGATTATAAAAAAAAAAGAATTTGATGTTAAACTTGAAGAAAAAGGTATCAACTGAAAATTTACAAATTTGACCCCAGTATTGATTTTCGGCTCATGGAATGCGAGAAGTAACTCGGACAAAGAACAACAACCCATACTATAGCAAGCACCACAGTGTTGCGCGTCACTCTCTGTATAAAGTGCAGTCCATTTAAACGGATGATCTCTCTTATAAGGTGTTCTCCTCCCAAACCCTCCCCCC